GGGGGGAAAGGTGTTACAGGCTTAAGGGGGGAGGTGGTACAGGCTTAAGGGGGGAGGTGGTACAGGCTTAAGGGGGGAAGGTGTTACAGGCTTAAGGGGGGAGGTGGTACAGGCTTAAGGGGGGAGGTGGTACAGGCTTTGGTTTTTCCATTTATGTTTTGCGGTTGCGACTTTTGCACGTATAACTCGTTAGGCACACCGATTGGTGTCACCTCGTTAGTCAGTATGTGTTACACCTGTGCTGGTTGCCATCTCGTTAGTGGGAAGGCGTTTCACCTGTGCTGGCCCAGTGCTCCAGTTGTCTTGGTAGATGTGGAGGGGTAACACCTTTAGTTGGCGTTCCCAATTTGATTTCCAGAAAGACAATCCTTTCTCTGATCATACGTTTTTGTTTTGCTCCACCTTTTTCTAAGTTTGGTTTTTCTATTGTTTGCCTCTTAGTGGGCAGATTTAGTGGGTCTCATGGTGGGAGTCTTTTAGGTTCCAGGTGTTGTTGCTAGTCAACCTCCAGTGGACACCCCCATGAGTGCCTTTCAGAACCCCTCATAAAACCTCACCTGTTTCGTTTTGGTTGTTGTCAGTGACTCTGTTAGTTCCCCCTTCTGTTTGAGTGACAATTTGATTTTCTTGCTGGGGAACGGTCTGCTAATACAGGGCTATGTTTTGGTTGGCGATTTTTTTTCTCCTAAAAAGGAACTATCACAATTTCATTTAAACGTTAATGCGGTCTGTTCCAGTTGATCTCACGTATGAATCCCAAATGGCACCCCATACCCTTCATAGTGCCCTACTTTTCACCACAGTCCTATGGGCCCTGGTCAATAGTGCACTATATAGGGAATATGGTGCCAATTGGAATGCAATATTGTCTATTACAGCTTCATAACACATTTCAGTTAGCTACATACTGGATGAATGAGGCAAACGTGTTCTTCAGTTAGCTACAACGTGTTCTTCAGTTAGCTACAACGTGTTATTCAGTTAGCTACAACGTGTTCTTCAGTTAGCTACATACTGGATGAATGAGGCAAACGTGTTCTTCAGTTAGCTACAACGTGTTCTTCAGTTAGCTACAACGTGTTCTTCAGTTAGCTACAAAACGTGTTCTTCAGTTAGCTACATACTGGATGAATGAGGCAACGTGTTCTTCAGTTAGCTACAACGTGTTCTTCAGTTAGCTACAACGTGTTATTCAGTTAGCTACAACGTGTTATTCAGTTAGCTACAACGTGTTCTTCAGTTAGCTACATACTGGATGAATGAGGCAAACGTGTTCTTCAGTTAGCTACAACGTGTTCTTCAGTTAGCTACAACGTGTTCTTCAGTTAGCTACATACAGTGGGGAAAAAAAGTATTTAGTCAGCCACCAATTGTGCAAGTTCTCCCACTTAAGAAGATGAGAGAGGCCTGTAATTTTCATCATAGGTACACGTCAACTATGACAGACAAAATGAGAATTTTCTTTCCAGAAAATCACATTGTAGGATTTTTTATGAATTTATTTTCAAATTATGGTGGAAAATAAGTATTTGGTCAATAACAAAAGTTTCTCAATACTTTGTTATATACCCTTTGTTGGCAATGACACAGGTCAAACGTTTTCTGTAAGTCTTCACAAGGTTTTCACACACTGTTGCTGGTATTTTGGCCCATTCCTCCATGCAGATCTCCTCTAGAGCAGTGATGTTTTGGGGCTGTCGCTGGGCAACACAGACTTTCAACTCCCTCCAAAGATTTTCTATGGGGTTGAGATCTGGAGACTGGCTAGGCCACTCCAGGACCTTGAAATGCTTCTTACGAAGGCACTCCTTCGTTGCCCGGGCGGTGTGTTTGGGATCATTGTCATGCTGAAAGACCCACTCAAAATCTCACGATACATGGCCCCATTCATTCTTTCCTTTACACGGATCAGTCGTCCTGGTCCCTTTGCAGAAAAACAGCCCCAAAGCATGATGTTTCCACCCCCATGCTTCACAGTAGGTATGGTGTTCTTTGGATGCAACTCAGCATTCTTTGTCCTCCAAACACGACAAGTTGAGTTTTTACCAAAAAGTTCTATTTTGGTTTCATCTGACATTCTCCCAATCCTCTTCTGGATCATCCAAATGCACTCTAGCAAACTTCAGACGGGCCAGGACATGTACTGGCTTAAGCAGGGGGACACGTCTGGCACTGCAGGATTTGAGTCCCTGGCGGCGTAGTGTGTTACTGATGGTAGGCTTTGTTACTTTGGTCCCAGCTCTCTGCAGGTCATTCACTAGGTCCCCCTGTGTGGTTCTGGGATTTTTGCTCACCGTTCTTGTGATCATTTTGACCCCACGGGGTGAGATCTTGCGTGGAGCCCCAGATCGAGGGAGATTATCAGTGGTCTTGTATTTCTTCTATTTCCTAATAATTGCTCCCACAGTTGATTTCTTCAAACCAAGCTGCTTACCTATTGCAGATTCAGTCTTCCCAGCCTGGTGCAGGTCTACAATTTTGTTTCTGGTGTCCTTTGACAGCTCTTTGGTCTTGGCCAACGAGTGGAGGACAGAGGAGCCTCTTAAAGAAGAAGTTACAGGTCTGTGAGAGCCAGAAATCTTGCTTGTTTGTAGGTGACCAAATACTTATTTTCCACCATAATTTGCAAATAAATTCATAAAAAATCCTACAATGTGATTTTCTGGAAAAAAAATTCTCAATTTGTCTGTGATAGTTGACGTGTACCTATGATGAATATTACAGGCCTCTCTCACCTTTTTAAGTGGGAGAACTTGAACAATTGGTGGCTGACTAAATACTTTTTCCCCCACTGTACTGGATGTTGTTCATAACAAAGCACTGAAGAGTTCATAAGAACATCGTTTTGGTTTGAAATGTCACACTTCAGAACGTTTATGGCAACAATCACCAACATTTAATTTGGTCAACTTGATTCAGATTAATGCACCTTTTAGACAGTTGTTTATTTTACTTTAGAAAATCTGGACACTGAAATAGAAACCACACAATAGGTAAACCATGTTAACAGGTCTCTCTAGTCAATACAAACCACACAATAGGTAAACCATGTGTTAATACAGGTCTCTAGTCAATTTCGATTATGAAAGACACACCCAACACTTTGAAAAGGAGGGTCTGAATGTTACCCCTTGTAGACTGTCCTATATGACTGAAAGGTTAAGACGCTTGCTCTCCCACTTCAATCGGCCATTTAAGGAAACTGTAAAGGACTCCTTGACATTAAAGCAGCCATCAATACACAGAACAAAACTCATACAAAAAATTAATTCAAACATATTGGTCTATCAATTACAGCAGCTTAACCTGTAGGGGTTCAGTAGTGAACATTAAACTAAATCCAAACTCATTGATCTTGGAACTAAAACTAGGGAACTTGTGTTCTGTGTTCTGTGTGGATTTCACACGTTAATATCTACATATCTATCCCCAAGCTTTGTGTTCTGTGTGGATTTCACACGTTAATATCTACATATCTATCCCCAAGCTTTGTGTTCTGTGTGTAGAGTAGAGTGGGTTTGAATCTTCAATTCACAATTTGTATTAAAACTTTCAATCATAGAAAAAGCAGTAAAGAGATTCTTCCAATCACGTCTTTTCAGATCAAAAATATCTGTTCAAATAAATTATATCACAGATTATATTTCTTATTCACTAGATTACTACACGCTGTAAAAATATGAAGAGGAACCTTAGACTTGAGGAGACATGAGAAATATCGCAGAGACAAGGCATCAAAATCACACATCTATAGAAGAATCTATCTTATCTATCATTTTAGGGTTACAAAATGCAACATACACTCTCACTACATTATTACGGTGTCACAAAATCTATTTTAACTATAATATATTTGTTCGTGTATTAATTATAACTTATGATATGTTTTAGATATAGAATCAAAAATGAAACAATAACCACATTGTTACCAAGCAACATAGTATTACCAACACTATAAGTATGTAGCCTTCTTGAACAACAAAATATATACATTATAGTGCCAAATAATATAATACCTTACTTGGCCCTGTAAACTATAAAACATATCAACTCCTCAATACTGACCACTATGAAGAGGAATAACAACTCCTAGTGTTGCAGGTTGTAAAACTTGAGAGGGACCTCCTTCTCGGGAAGCTTTCTGCATAATATGCCATTTAGCAGACACTTTTATCCAAAGCGACTTACAGTCATGCGTGCATACATTTTTGTGTATGGGTGGTCCCGGGGATCGAACCCACTTCCTTGGCGTTACAAGCGCCGTGCTCTACCAGCTGAGCTACAGAGGACCACATGGTAGGTTTGTACACTGCAAATTGTCCGCAAGCAGCTCAAACAGATAGTATTTTACAAAAACATATATTTTTTAGAACATTGATTACATCTTACAGATTCTTACTGTAAACACCATAGGTTACCACAAACAAAGAAAATACTTTGGTGAGACACTTGGATTCGTCAATTCTACAGACGCAAAAATATACCTTGTGTACAAGAGAAAGAAAGTACAGTACATTTCCTATTCTAGTGAGACTAGCTGCATTTAGACCCTGGAGAATCAGACTGATGGTTGATTATTACTTACTGAGCTGCAGCAGTGGTCTGTTGGACAATGAGTGTTTTTTTTTACATCACTGATGATCTAACCTCAATTACCTCGTCAAATGTAGACCTACTGGCTGACTGGCTCTAGTCGAACATCACACGGACATCCTTTAATAAGTCCATAGCCCGTCAGTATTACAAATTCATATAATTCAAGTGATTTGCTCAAAACTATTGTCTTCATCTGGAATTCATTTCTAAAAGAAGATTTGAGGACCATCCAACATTCCCCCTGTGGTTAGGACCCCCTCTAGTTAGGACCTCCTCTAGTTAGGACCTCCTCTAGTTAGGACCCCCTCTAGTTAGGACCCCCTCTAGTTAGGACCTCCTCTATTCCTCCAACCTGCCTGGGACGCTACGGCAACTAAACATGGAAATAAATCAACATAAATGATCCTTATACAAACAAAACAATGATATTTTCTCTCATTAAAACAGGTCCCACCGGACATGATAGAAGACCTCTATCTGGGTCGGTTGGATCCTCTTCCTCCCCTACTGGCCTGGACTTTGCCTACAGTAGTTGCGCCACGCACTAAATGGCCCCCCCTCCCTCACACCCCGCAGTCACTGGTTCTGTCCTGTAGTTTCCTGTTGAGGGTGAGGAGGGTGACGAGGACGGCAACCGCAAGGTGGAACAGCAGCTGCCAGACATTCCTCAGCCCAAACAGGAAGCAGTTAGATACCACAACCACACTCAGCAGTACCAGGCACTTGACCCTCTTCAGAGAAGAGTGGAACAGGTATAGGTGACACTGACCAACACAGCACAGGAACGCCAGCAGAAACGCCACCACGTTCCAGATTCCTTCATAATCATCCTGTAGCAAAGAAAAGGACATCAGAACAGTGTTGGCTCCTGAATTCAGTAGATCTTTATGAGCAGAATATAAGACATTATCAGCCAAGATAAATTGGACCTGGCTAAATAGAATAGTCTACCTGGAAGGTGTCTTCTATATGGTTAACAGAATAGTCTACCTGGAAGGTGTCTTCTATATGGTTAACAGAATAGTCTACCTGGAAGGTGTCTTCTATATGGTTAACAGAATAGTCTACCTGGAAGGTGTGCTCTATGAGGTGAACGCCCCTGATGAGGTTCAGAGAAGAACACATGATGTTGAGGACCAGTGAGAGGATTCCTGGGACGGTCACCGGCTCCAACCTCTGGATCTGACCTGGAAGACCGATCCAACACAACACAGGATCAAGCAACGTCTAACTGAAGTAACAGTGCAACGTTGATCTGTGGTTAGAGGCAACGTCCTCCTCCTCCTGATTCTTACCGGATTCAGAAAATGTTTCCGCGTAGCCATTGGCAGACCCGTTGGTAAGCTCCACCTCCTCCAGGGTGAGGATCTGCAAGGGGCGTGTTTTCAGATCCTCCTGTACTTCGGCCAGAGTGACCTCCAGCGCTGGACCACCCTTCCAGTTATACTGCTGCTGCAGCCACGCTATGCTGTTGTCTATAATATAATATAATATAATATTAACCCTTCCAGTTATACTGCTGCTGCAGCCACGCTATGCTGCTGTCTATAATATAATATAATATAATATTAACCCTTCCAGTTATACTGCTGCTGCAGCCACGCTATGCTGTTGTCTATAATATAATATAATATTAACCCTTCCAGTTATACTGCTGCTGCAGCCACGCTATGCTGTTGTCTATAATATAATATAATATAATATTAACCCTTCCAGTTATACTGCTGCTGCAGCCACGCTATGCTGTTGTCTATAATATAATATAATATAATATTAACCCTTCCAGTTATACTGCTGCTGCAGCCACGCTATGCTGTTGTCTATAATATAATATAATATTAACCCTTCCAGTTATACTGCTGCTGCAGCCACGCTATGCTGTTGTCTATAATATAATATAATATAATATTAACCCTTCCAGTTATACTGCTGCTGCAGCCACGCTATGCTGTTGTCTATAATATAATATAATATAATATTAACCCTTCCAGTTATACTGCTGCTGCAGCCACGCTATGCTGTTGTCTATAATATAATATAATATAATATTAACCCTTCCAGTTATACTGCTGCTGCAGCCACACTATGCTGTTGTCTATAATATAATATTAACCCTTCCAGTTATACTGCTGCTGCAGCCACGCTATGCTGTTGTCTATAATATAATATAATATAATATTAACCCTTCCAGTTATACTGCTGCTGCAGCCACGCTATGCTGTTGTCTATAATATAATATAATATTAACCCTTCCAGTTATACTGCTGCTGCAGCCACGCTATGCTGTTGTCTATAATATAATATAATATTAACCCTTCCAGTTATACTGCTGCTGCAGCCACGCTATGCTGTTGTCTATAATATAATATAATATTAACCCTTCCAGTTATACTGCTGCTGCAGCCACGCTATGCTGTTGTCTATAATATAATATAATATTAACCCTTCCAGTTATACTTCTGCTGCAGCCACGCTATGCTGTTGTCTATAATATAATATAATATAATATAATATTAAACCCTTCCAGTTATACTGCTGCTGCAGCCACGCTATGCTGTTGTCTATAATATAATATAATATAATATTAACCCTTCCAGATATACTGCTGCTGCAGCCACGCTATGCTGTTGTCTATAATATAATATTAACCCTTCCAGTTATACTGCTGCTGCAGCCACGCTATGCTGTTGTCTATAATATAATATAATATTAACCCTTCCAGTTATACTGCTGCTGCAGCCACGCTATGCTGTTGTCTATAATATAATATAATATATTAACCCTTCCAGTTATACTGCTGCTGCAGCCACGCTATGCTGTTGTCTATAATATAATATTAACCCTTCCAGTTATACTGCTGCTGCAGCCACGCTATGCTGTTGTCTATAATATAATATAATATTAACCCTTCCAGTTATACTGCTGCTGCAGCCACGCTATGCTGTTGTCTATAATAGAATATAATATTAACCCTTCCAGTTATACTGCTGCTGCAGCCACGCTATGCTGTTGTCTATAATAGAATATAATATAATATTAACCCTTCCAGTTATACTGCTGCTGCAGCCACGCTATGCTGTTGTCTATAATATAATATAATATAATATAATATTAACCCTTCCAGTTATACTGCTGCTGCAGCCACGCTATGCTGTTGTCTATAATATAATATAATATAATATTAACCCTTCCAGTTATACTGCTGCTGCAGCCACGCTATGCTGTTGTCTATAATATAATATAATATAAACCCTTCCAGTTATACTGCTGCTGCAGCCACGCTATGCTGTTGTCTATAATATAATATAATATAATATTAACCCTTCCAGTTATACTGCTGCTGCAGCCACGCTATGCTGTTGTCTATAATATAATATAATATAATATTACCCTTCCAGTTATACTGCTGCTGCAGCCACGCTATGCTGTTGTCTATAATATAATATAATATTAACCCTTCCAGTTATACTGCTGCTGCAGCCACGCTATGCTGTTGTCTATAATATAATATAATATATTAACCCTTCCAGTTATACTGCTGCTGCAGCCACGCTATGCTGTTGTCTATAATATAATATAATATAATATTAACCCTTCCAGTTATACTGCTGCTGCAGCCATGCTATGCTGTTGTCTATAATATAATATAATATAATATTAACCCTTCCAGTTATACTGCTGCTGCAGCCACGCTATGCTGTTGTCTATAATATAATATTAACACTTCCAGTTATACTGCTGCTGCAGCCACGCTATGCTGTTGTCTATAATATAATATAATATTAACCCTTCCAGTTATACTGCTGCTGCAGCCACGCTATGCTGTTGTCTATAATATAATATAATATAATATAATATTAACCCTTCCAGTTATACTGCTGCTGCAGCCACGCTATGCTGTTGTCTATAATATAATATAATATTAACCCTTCCAGTTATACTGCTGCTGCAGCCACGCTATGCTGTTGTCTATAATATAATATAATATAAACCCTTCCAGTTATACTGCTGCTGCAGCCACGCTATGCTGTTGTCTATAATATAATATAATATAATATTAACCCTTCCAGTTATACTGCTGCTGCAGCCACGCTATGCTGTTGTCTATAATATAATATAATATAATATTAACCCTTCCAGTTATACTGCTGCTGCAGCCACGCTATGCTGTTGTCTATAATATAATATAATATTAACCCTTCCAGTTATACTGCTGCTGCAGCCACGCTATGCTGTTGTCTATAATATAATATAATATTAACCCTTCCAGTTATACTGCTGCTGCAGCCACGCTATGCTGTTGTCTATAAATTAATATAATATAAACCCTTCCAGTTATACTGCTGCTGCAGCCACGCTATGCTGTTGTCTATAATATAATATAATATAATATTAACCCTTCCAGTTATACTGCTGCTGCAGCCACGCTATGCTGTTGTCTATAATATAATATAATATAATATTAACCCTTCCAGTTATACTGCTGCTGCAGCCACGCTATGCTGTTGTCTATAATATAATATAATATAACATAATATTAACCCTTCCAGTTATACTGCTGCTGCAGCCACGCTATGCTGTTGTCTATAATATAATATAATATAATATTAACCCTTCCAGTTATACTGCTGCTGCAGCCACGCTATGCTGTTGTCTATAATATAATATTAACACTTCCAGTTATACTGCTGCTGCAGCCACGCTATGCTGTTGTCTATAATATAATATAATATTAACCCTTCCAGTTATACTGCTGCTGCAGCCACGCTATGCTGTTGTCTATAATATAATATAATATTAACCCTTCCAGTTATACTGCTGCTGCAGCCACGCTATGCTGTTGTCTATAATATAATATAATATTAACCCTTCCAGTTATACTTCTGCTGCAGCCACGCTATGCTGTTGTCTATAATATAATATAATATAATATTAACCCTTCCAGTTATACTGCTGCTGCAGCCACGCTATGCTGTTGTCTATAATATAATATAATATAATCCCTTCCAGTTATACTGCTGCTGCAGCCACGCTATGCTGTTGTCTATAATATAATATTAACCCTTCCAGTTATACTGCTGCTGCAGCCACGCTATGCTGTTGTCTATAATATAATATAATATTAACCCTTCCAGTTATACTGCTGCTGCAGCCACGCTATGCTGTTGTCTATAATATAATATAATATAATATTAACCCTTCCAGTTATACTGCTGCTGCAGCCACGCTATGCTGTTGTCTATAATATAATATAATATAATATAAACCCTTCCAGTTATACTGCTGCTGCAGCCACGCTATGCTGTTGTCTATAATATAATATAATATAATATTAACCCTTCCAGTTATACTGCTGCTGCAGCCATGCTATGCTGTTGTCTATAATATAATATAATATAATATTAACCCTTCCAGTTATACTGCTGCTGCAGCCACGCTATGCTGTTGTCTATAATATAATATAATATTAACCCTTCCAGTTATACTGCTGCTGCAGCCACGCTATGCTGTTGTCTATAATATAATATAATATAATATTAACCCTTCCAGTTATACTGCTGCTGCAGCCATGCTATGCTGTTGTCTATAATATAATATAATATAATATTAACCCTTCCAGTTATACTGCTGCTGCAGCCACGCTATGCTGTTGTCTATAATATAATATAATATTAACCCTTCCAGTTATACTGCTGCTGCAGCCACGCTATGCTGTTGTCTATAATATAATATAATATAATATTAACCCTTCCAGTTATACTGCTGCTGCAGCCACGCTATGCTGTTGTCTATAATATAATATAATATTAACCCTTCCAGTTATACTGCTGCTGCAGCCACGCTATGCTGTTGTCTATAATATAATATAATATAATATTAACCCTTCCAGTTATACTGCTGCTGCAGCCACGCTATGCTGTTGTCTATAAATTAATATAATATAAACCCTTCCAGTTATACTGCTGCTGCAGCCACGCTATGCTGTTGTCTATAATATAATATAATATTAACCCTTCCAGTTATACTGCTTCTGCAGCCACGCTATGCTGTTGTCTATAATATAATATAATATAACATAATATTAACCCTTCCAGTTATACTGCTGCTGCAGCCACGCTATGCTGTTGTCTATAATATAATATAATATTAACCCTTCCAGTTATACTGCTGCTGCAGCTACGCTATGCTGTTGTCTATAATATAATATAATATAATATTAACCCTTCCAGTTATACTGCTGCTGCAGCCACGCTATGCTGTTGTCTATAATATAATATAATATAATATTAACCCTTCCAGTTATACTGCTGCTGCAGCCACGCTATGCTGTTGTCTATAATATAATATAATATAATATTAACCCTTCCAGTTATACTGCTGCTGCAGCCACGCTATGCTGTTGTCTATAATATAATATAATATAATATTAACCCTTCCAGTTATACTGCTGCTGCAGCCACGCTATGCTGTTGTCTATAATATAATATAATATAATATTAACCCTTCCAGTTATACTGCTGCTGCAGCCACGCTATGCTGTTGTCTATAATATAATATAATATAATATTAACCCTTCCAGTTATACTGCTGCTGCAGCCACGCTATGCTGTTGTCTATAATATAATATAATATAATATTAACCCTTCCAGTTATACTGCTGCTGCAGCCACGCTATGCTGTTGTCTATAATATAATATAATATAATATTAACCCTTCCAGTTATACTGCTGCTGCAGCCACGCTATGCTGTTGTCTATAATATAATATAATATTAACCCTTCCAGTTATACTGCTGCTGCAGCCACGCTATGCTGTTGTCTATAATATAATATAATATAATATAATATATTAACCCTTCCAGTTATACTGCTGCTGCAGCCACGCTATGCTGTTGTCTATAATATAATATAATATAATATTAACCCTTCCAGTTATACTGCTGCTGCAGCCACGCTATGCTGTTGTCTATAATATAATATAATATTAACCCTTCCAGTTATACTGCTGCTGCAGCCACGCTATGCTGTTGTCTATAATATAATATAATATAATATTAACCCTTCCAGTTATACTATTGCTGCAGCCACGCTATGCTGTTGTCTATAATATAATATAATATAATATTAACCCTTCCAGTTATACTGCTGCTGCAGCCACGCTATGCTGTTGTCTATAATATAATATAATATTAACCCTTCCAGTTATACTGCTGCTGCAGCCACGCTATGCTGTTGTCTATAATATAATATAATATAATATAATATTAACCCTTCCAGTTATACTGCTGCTGCAGCCACGCTATGCTGTTGTCTATAATATAATATAATATAATATTAACCCTTCCAGTTATATTCCTGCTGCAGCCACGCTATGCTGTTATCTATAATATAATATAATATAATATTAACCCTTCCAGTTATACTGCTACTGCAGCCACGCTATGCTGTTGTCTATAATATAATATAATATTAACCCTTCCAGTTATACTGCTGCTGCAGCCACGCTATGCTGTTGTCTATAATATAATATAATATAATATTAACCCTTCCAGTTATACTGCTGCTGCAGCCACGCTATGCTGTTGTCTATAATATAATATAATATAATATTAACCCTTCCAGTTATACTGCTGCTGCAGCCACGCTATGCTGTTGTCTATAATATAATATAATATTAACCCTTCCAGTTATACTGCTGCTGCAGCCACGCTATGCTGTTGTCTATAATATAATATAATATAATATAATATAATATTAACCCTTCCAGTTATACTGCTGCTGCAGCCACGCTATGCTGTTGTCTATAATATAATATAATATTAACCCTTCCAGTTATACTGCTGCTGCAGCCACGCTATGCTGTTGTCTATAATATAATATAATATAATATTAACCCTTCCAGTTATACTGCTGCTGCAGCCACGCTATGCTGTTGTCTATAATATAATATAATATTAACCCTTCCAGTTATACTGCTGCTGCAGCCACGCTATGCTGTTGTCTATAATATAATATAATATAATATTAACCCTTCCAGTTATACTGCTGCTGCAGCCACTCTATGCTGTTGTCTATAATATAATATAATATTAACCCTTCCAGTTATACTGCTGCTGCAGCCACGCTATGCTGTTGTCTATAATATAATATAATATTAACCCTTCCAGTTATACTGCTGCTGCAGCCACGCTATGCTGTTGTCTATAATATAATATAATATAATATAATATTAACCCTTCCAGTTATACTGCTGCTGCAGCCACGCTATGCTGTTGTCTATAATATAATATAATATAATATAATATAATATTAACCCTTCCAGTTATACTGCTGCTGCAGCCACGCTATGCTGTTGTCTATAATATAATATAATATAATATAATATTAACCCTTCCAGTTATACTGCTGCTGCAGCCACGCTATGCTGTTGTCTATAATATAATATAATATAATATTAACCCTTCCAGTTATACTGCTGCTGCAGCCACGCTATGCTGTTGTCTATAATATAATATAATATAATATTAACCCTTCCAGTTATACTGCTGCTGCAGCCACGCTATGCTGTTGTCTATAATATAATATAATATAATATTAACCCTTCCAGTTATACTGCTGCTGCAGCCACGCTATGCTGTTGTCTATAATATAATATAATATAATATTAACCCTTCCAGTTATACTGCTGCTGCAGCCACGCTATGCTGTTGTCTATAATATAATATAATATAATATTAACCCTTCCAGTTATACTGCTGCTGCAGCCACGGTATCCTGTTATCTAATAACCATCAATCACACGATGGTTGTCGTGGTCATGTCGTATGTTATTGTATGTAGTTAAGTATCAGTGACTATTGGTTGTCGTATGTTATTAAGTATCTGGACTCCTGACTACATGACTGCCTCATGGGATCTGTCATGGTTTTAGAACACCAGAGACACGTTCATATTTTGATGACCTACAGATGACCTCATCTGTTCAATACATTTTGATGACCTACAGATGACCTCATCTGTTCAATACATTTTGATGACCTACAGATGACCTCATCTGTTCAATACATTTTGATGACCTACAGATGACCTCATCTGTTCAATACATTTTGATGACATACAGATGACCTCATCTGTTCAATACATTTTGATGACCTCATCTGTTCAATACATTTTGATGACCTACAGATGACCTCATCTGTTCAATACATTTTGATGACCTACAGATGACCTCATCTGTTCAATACATTTTGATGAACTACAGATGACCTCATCTGTTCAATACATTTTGATGACCTACAGATGACCTCATCTGTTCAATACATTTTGATGACCTACAGATGACCTCATCTGTTCAATACATTTTGATGAACTACAGATGACCTCATCTGTTCAATACATCATAAAATGCTGGCTCTAGGCCAGGGGTAGGCAACACTGGTTTTTGATTTATCCGACCTGGAAGACCAGGTGTGTTGAATTTAGGCAATCACTGAACTGATCAATCAGCTCAGTTGGTCAGGTGTGGTGCCTAGTTGGAACAATATCCTGCAGTACCTGCGGCACTCCAGGAACAGGGTTGCCTACCCCTGCTCTACGCCATCACCTCCACCCTTCTCCTTCTGCTACTCAACCCTCCACCTCCTTTACCTCCACCCATCCCCTCTCACGCCTCTCCTTCCTCCTCCACCCCTCCTCTCTTCACCCACCCCTCTCTCCCTCCTTCCTCTACTCCCTCCACCCCTACTCCCTCCCCTCCCCCCAGCCCCACTCCTCTCTCCGTCCCCTCCTCTCTCCCTCATACCCCTCCCCTCCTCTCTCCCTCATAACCCTCCCCTTCACTTCCACCCCTCTCCTACACACCGAACTCCAGGAAGGGGTAAGGCCTGGCTGCCAGGGCAACCTTGGCGCTGTCCATATGTGCTGTGAAGTCCCAGCGCAGGTCCTCTAGGAAACAGAAGGCCATGGCTGCAGGGAGGCTGGCGTCACACACGCTCATGTAGGATACGCCCTCACTGGAGAGGAAACTAGAGGAGAGGGAGGTGGAAAGGAGGAGGGGGGTTTAAGTAAACAAACAGCCCACAGCAAGACGTACAACCCTTCACAGAACAGCGCAAACTGGCACGCAGCAGGACAGTTTCTGGCTCCTTTCAAAATGTTGATACTGGTTTCTGATCTGTTCAACCAATTCTGTCTAACGTCAACTCAAATGATCCCTGTTATTCTGTACAGGCTTCCTTCTTTTCACTCTGTCATTTAGGTTAGTATTGTGGAGTAACTACAATGTTGTTGATCCATCCTCAGTTTTCTCCTATCACAGCCATTAAACTCTTAACTGTTTTAAAGTCACCATTGGCCTCATGGTGAAATCCCTGAGCGGTTTCCTTTCTCACCAGCAACTGAGTTAGGAAGGAAGCTTGTATCTCTGTAGTGACTGGGGGTATTGATACACCATCCAAAGTGTAATTAATAACTTCACCATGCTCAAAGGGATATTCAATGTCTGCTTTTTATTTTTTTACATCTACCAATAGGTGCCCTTCTTTGCAAGGCATTGGAAAACCTCCCTGGTCTTTGTGGTTGAATCTGTGTTTGAAATTCACTGCACGACTGAGGGACCTTACAAATAACGGTATGTGTGGGGTACAAAGGTGAGGTAGTCATTCAAAAGTCATGTTAAACACTATTATTGCACACAAAGTGAGTCCATGCAACTTATTCTGGGACTTGTTAAGCACATCACTCCTCCTAAACTTACTTAAGGTTGCCATAACAAAGGGGTTGAATACTTTTTCATTCAAGACATTTCAGCTTTGAATTAATTGCTAAAAAAATTGATAATTCAGGCTGTAACAACAAAATGTGGAAAAAGTTAAAGGGGTGTGAATACTTTCTGAAGTGTCCTTACTATATACACACAACTCAGGTATAGTATATACTATACATAATATCTATCTATCTTACTATATATTGAGGTCATGGCCCTTGACCGCCCCTCTGTCGGGGAACAGGCTGAGGGTCTTGGAGATGGTCCGTAGCTGCTGCTTCTTCTCTTGCAGCTCTGGGTTGTGTTGGAAGTCAGTGGAGGCTGAGAGGGGCAGACCATCCCTGACCCGCACCACCAGGGCAAACAGGATCAGAGACATGGTCCACATAGCCTGCAACCACAAAACACAGGAAACATTTAACACAGCGCAATACAAAATACAACACAACAGAGGACAGGACATGACATGACAGGACAGGACAGGAGACTCAGAGAATCAATACAACTGAGTCACATCTGGTATAAGTCAGTACCGCAGTCAGGGGTGTATTCATTAGGAACCAAACGCAAGCAAACGGAACTAAAGAGGGAGGGACTTACATAAATCTGTCCAATAGAAATGAGGTTCTATTATGCCCCAGTTGTCAGTCACTAGGTGGTGCATCAGCTCAGTGGTAGCAGGCTAACAGTTAGCTAGCTAGTGTAATACATGGCAGAATGATGGCAAATGCATCTACAATCTCTAGATGATGGTTTCAAACATTACGAATCCTGTTTAACAATTCTTACAAGGTGATGCTGATGAGTAAGGCAAGGGGTCTCTGCCCCCTTTTGAACTCATTTGTGCATTTTTTAAACACCCGTAACTGCCATTTCTTGTGATCTAGAGTCTTAAAACTATCAAGTAAAACATGTAAATAAACATGATTTAGGGAAAACCCTGTAATATTTCCTTGTTACCCTAACTTAGCTAGCTAACAGTAGGGACGTCAAAGGTTCAGTATAATTACATCAACGTTCCAAATCGCTGGTAGTACGTTCGAGATTTCTACGACCTGAAGCAAGCACACAATGCATACCTGCCGAGCTTGTGCACGTGTTTTAGGCTAGGGCGGTATCCAGATTTTCGTATCTCGGGATTTACGCCCCCAAAAATTCACCAAAAAAGCCCACTGAGCATCTTTTACCAGAATGCTAACAAAATTAGCACAAGTACAAGCGAATGTCCATGGAGGCTGCTAGCTAAATATGCTAAAGACCGCAAACGGGAAAAAATATATAATTGCAAAGATAGGCTGTCCAGCTCATACAGTTCTACATATGTAGGTAGGAGCTACCGAATGGCATGTTGGGTAAGTTTGGACATTTACAAGTCACATGAAGGTGCTGGCCCTGGGACAGCATGTCTACACCCGGTGTCTGGAGTCGCTAGGGCAACAGGTCTGCCTGCTCTGAGAAGATAGGGGAGGAGCCTAGGGAGTCGCTAGGGCAACAGGTCTGCCTGCTCTGAGAAGATAGGGGAGGAGCCTAGGGAGTCGCTAGGGCAACAGGTCTGCCTGCTCTGAGAAGATAGGGGAGGAGCCTAGGGAGTCGCTAGGGCAACAGGTCTGCCTGCTCTGAGAAGATAGGAGAAACAACAAGGAAATCAAGATATCATCCGAAGGGCTTCGACTTCTCAAACACAACGATGCCCAGTCACCTTATTAATTCAGCCACTCACTAGAAAGTTCCATTTAGGGGTTGCAGAATGCTTTGTTTTTCACGCAGGAAAAAATAAGTATCTTGCTGCGTTTTGTAAATGCAGATCTAAATATGGTTCTTATTGTCATTTCTGCTTCAGACTAATTCTGTGCTTCAGTAGCACTTCTCCACTCTGAGAATTCAGGAACTGCCTCTAACTGATCTGTAGCTTTTTTCCTCAGGTACTTTTCTCAGTGTAGACAGTCTACTTTTCTCCATCAAATTCAAGATTAATTTGAGGCAAAACATTAGGAAATGTAGCTGGCTACATTATTTCTATGATAAACAGAAATATGTTGGCTATGCATAGTTTTAGCAGAAAATACCTTGCTTTTTAATTGTACGCCCATTTAGCCTACTTGCCTACTTGTGTGGCTGCCTAGTTGGTTAGCTTTAGCTACCTGTAGATTCATGCAGGGTAGTAATGTTATGAGTTGGGATTATGGTTCATTGTTTAGCTAGCTAGGTCTTTTTTTGTTGTTGGTACTTTCACACCTTTTTCTCCCCAATTTCGTGATATCCAATTGGTAGTTACAGTCTTGTCCTATCGCTGCAACTCCCCTACGGACTCGGGAAAGGCATAGGTCGAGAGCAATGCGTCCTCCGAAACACGACCCTGCCAAGCCGCATTGCTTCTTGACACACTGCTCGCTAAACCCAGAAGCTAACCGCACCAATGTGTCAGAGGAAACACCGTCCAGCTGGCGACCGACCATAGTCAGTTTGCAGGCGCCCGGTCCGGCACAAGGAGTCGCTAGAGCGCGATGGGACTTTGAAATTCCGGCCGGCCAAACCCTCCCCTAAACTGGACGACGCTGGGCCAAATGTGCGCCGCCTCATGGGTCTCCCGGTCACGGCCAGCTGTGACACAGCCTGGGATCGAAACCGGGTCTGTAGTGACACTTCAAGCACTGCGATGCAGTCCTGCTGCTGGGTTGTTGCCCTCCTACGGCCTCCTCCACGTCTCCTGATGTACTGGCCTGTCTCCTGGTAGCGCCTCCATGCTCTGGACACTACACTGACAGACACAGCAAACCTTCTTGCCACAGCTCGCATTGATGTGCCATCCTGGATGAGATGCACTACCTGAGCCACTTGTGTGGGTTGTAGACTCCATCTCATGCTACCACTAGAGTGAAAGCACCGCCAGCATTCAAAAAGTGACCAAAACATCAGCCAGGAAGCATAGGAACTGAGAAGTGGTCTGTGGTCACCACCTGCAAAACCAGTCCTTTATTGGGGGTGTCTTGCTAATTGCCTATAATTTCCACCTGTTGTCTATTCCATTTGCACAACAGCATGTGAAATGTATTGTCAATCAGTGTTGCTTCCTAAGTGGACAGTTTGATTTCACAGAAGTGTGATTGACTTGGAGTTACATTGTGTTGTTTAAGTGTTCCCTTTATTTTTTTGAGCAGTGTATATCACCAGTAGTGATTCCAGTCTTCCCGTTATCATTGTCAGAGTGGACACATTGTTTGCAGAGTGCACAACCTATGCTACACTTGTGAGAAACAAGTTTTGATTTATTTAATTCCATTTACGAGTGTTGTCAATTTAGTCATTGTCTTTTGTTTGGAGCGCTCCTGTCAATGTTGAGTAAGGACGCGCACGCGCACGCATAGAAGTAGGCCTATAGGCTACCTGGCCTGATTATTCATAGAAGTAGGCCTATAGGCTACCTGGCCTGATTATTCATAGAAGTAGGTCTATAGTCTACCTGGCCTGCGCTCAAATGTAGGCATATAAATGTGCCCATTTGGGGATCTGATAGTATTTCTGATTGGCTTAACGCACCACCACTAAATGACCTGTGCAGCTTTTCAAAGTAATGTTTTCTTCACCTCAAACAGCAAGCAAACAAAGTCAGTTTTTACATCCATTGAGAATTACAATAGTTCCTCAATGTATTTTTTTTTTAAATATTTCCAGCTCTCTCTCTTTCGATAACAACTCAGCGTGAAAGGGAAAAATGTCATGCTCTGATCCACTAGAAATTTCATAAAATAGGCCTACCTGATTACTTCTTATCCGTGCTTGACTTGGACTGAAATAGGTTCCTGTCCTCATTTTGGGTGCTGGTTCTGTTTACATGTAAGTGCAGGAGCTCCACAATACTTTTGAGCTCTAATTCTATAAGAGGAACAGGAGCTAATATTCTATAAGAGGAACAGGAGCTAATATTCTATAAGAGGAACAGGAGCTAATATTCTATAAGAGGAACAGGAGCTAATATTCTATAAGAGGAACAGGAGCTCAAGCAGTAGAACATTTGAGGTGCCGGTACTCAGCTCCGGTGTGCTCCTACCCAAGTCAAGCACTGCTTCTTATCCCTTGAGCAAACTCAAATGGCCTACAGCTGTGTCTGTTCTGAGCTCACTGGCGCAGGAAACTCTGAGGGCCCAGAATATTTTATACAATGTTGCAAGTTCCTTGCAGACAGGCCATGCATAGCCAATGTGATTTATAAGACATTTATTTTTATTAGGATATTTTCTACCTGCAGGCTGCAATGTTTTTATTTGTTGGCTTTATGTAGGCTATTTTTACATAGTTGGCAATGGAAGTTACTTTTTAGGTTTGTATCATTTTCCTTTAGATTTGGATAAACTTTGACAATGATTTTGAGATATGAAGACATAAATTAAACTGTTTCACGAAAATGTGCATATGAAAACCATAACTGGCAAGCAGATCGGTAGAAATGGTAAGATAAATTGGCATTCCACATGAGAAAGGTTAAAATATAATTGTATTCAACATTCTGGCTTGTAGAGGTCGTCAGAGGAAACTTTCCTGATCCAAACGCTCATTTATGCCCGACGTTGAATCCAATGCAATTCAACGTCAGGTGGAGGTTAGCCCTGCCTGCTAACAGATGGCTACAGTAGATAGCTGAATGCACGTTTCTTACCACACCAAGTGAAATAGGAGTCTAAAAGTAGCAATGTGTTCAGCAGCAAGCCTGACTTTAGTCACAGTGAGTGACTTTAGATGCATAATTATCTTACGAATGCATATCACAAATAAGCCCACTGTGGCGAACATCCACATTGCTTCCTGCAGAGGTTGGCTGGCTAACGACGTTAGCAGCTAGCTATTTACTATGTTCACCTTACCTTAACATTCTTCGGTTCATTTTGCTTAGCTCACATTGTTGTGATACAACATGTGAATGAAAGTAGACCCTTTAGTTATGTTTGTCAATTTACTGCACATTGACATATAATTTAAAGTAGACTGTTGCCCAATACTTTGAAAGACCAACTAGCTTTCTTAATATTTCGCTAAGAATTGTGGGAGAAGATGAAAACAAATCTCTTTCCGGGTTCCGCGATTTTTTTTTTTTTTTAAAGAAACAGTAGCTTAATAAACTTCACGGTTAGGGTTGGGACATCCTGTCCTGTCCTGTCCCTTCCCTTCCCTTCCCTTCCCTTCCCTTCCCTTCCCTTCCCTTCCCTTCCCTTCCCTTCCCTTACCTTACCTTACCTTAACCCAGTTTCCCAAACTCGGTCCTGTTGCTTGAAATGAGATGGTCCTTCTCCACTCGCCCGTAGACCCGTCGCCAGAACGATGCAGTTGGACGGCCTTTGATTTGCATAGGCGGGCACCTTTTTTACCGGACCTCCTATGTTTGCACGCGCTTGCGCGTTCACATTTTCTAAACGGCTGTATTAGTGAAGACCACAGGCAGCTGTTTGGGGAAGCTTACAGTGTATCCTACCGTTTCTACTAATCTGCGTGCCAGTTAGGATTATTTTTATATGCGCATTTTCGTGGAACAGATTCATTTCAATGATAACCTTTTCGTTTCTCAAAATCATTGTCACGTTGTCAATCATAAAAATCAGAAGAAAAATTATAAAAATCTAAAAGTAAAAATGTAACTATGGCAAGAGCACTAGCCTCTACCATAGGGACACATTGATATAAGGTGATCCATTGGCGGATAAAGAAATGAGAGCGTAGAACTCAGAGATACAGCAGTAGGCCTACAACTTCCATCATCAACTAAGTCAAATGCAAAGGCCTAAAGCCGACGAAGAATGTTTTAAATAAAATATCAGGTGAAAATTCCGGTTCTTACAATCACATGAATCTCTCTACTCCGCCTGTCTGCCTCCCTTTCTGTCTTGACTTGAACTATTGCTGTAACAAAGCATCCTTAGTCTGGTCAGAAGCTGTCGCTAGCGAACTTGCAACATTGTATCGACTAGCCTATTTCAGGCCCTCCGTTTCTGGTTTTTATGACGTTTCCACTGGATATATGGGATCATCAGATCATGATATTTTACTCTCTCTCTCACCGACACTTGGTGAATATCGAGGCCGGGAGTGTCGGAACGATTTTTCAAATACTGAGGAACTATCATTCGCAATGGACGTACATTTTTTAAAACAAATACTTCCTTGACTTGTGTGAGGCAAAGAAAAATGGAGTGGTGTAGCCTACGTGGTGAGTTAAGACAATCAGAAATCAGACATTGCCAAATGGCCACTTTCCTACATATGCATGTGTAACCGGTGCAGCTGTAGCTCTGCAGTGTGTGATTGATTGGGACATCTTAACAACACCATCCACTTATGAGTAAACTCTAAATATAAAACATTATTCATTAACAAAACACTGTGACTCTGTGCTTAAAGGAATCAAACTTTTCTGAAGACGATAGAAAAAGCGAGCCTACCTCTCATAGTGCATCGAAATGATTTGAGCAGGACAAAACGTAAGGACACACCCCTATTCCCAGGATGCAGTCATCCATAATAACACATCAACATGCTATATTAATATATGAACCTGGTGAAATTCACAAAGTACTTTAACAACTGTTACACATGCATTCTGTAGAGAGACGCACCATATCTTCGCCACACCCACCTCACTTTCTTCTTGATGCAACATTTTAAATTATACTCAGGACACATTATCTTCACATATTTTAGACGCTTTTCACTGACAGCCGCAATTCAATCAGCTAGACTATTGCCATGCACACTACCCAAATTGCGGGCTTCCCAAACATTTTTACATTTTACATTTTAGTCATTTAGCAGACGCTCTTATCCAGAGCGACTTACAGTTAGTGCATACATTATTATTATTTTTGTTATTTTTTCTATAATTTTTCGTTGTTTTGTTCTTTATTTTTATTTATTTTTTATATTTTTATTTTTTATTTTTTTCATACTGGCCCCCCGTGGGAATCGAACCCACAACCCTGGCGTTGCAAACACCATGCTCTACCAACTGAGCTACATCCCTAGTGATTTGAACAATCCACAGCAAAACATGTTAAAATAAGTTAATGATCCTCTGTGGCTAAGTCATGCTCTGTCAGTGTTGGTGTGGGTGCGTGGAGAGGAGTCAGACGCAGGACGCATAAGCTAAGTCGAACAGGACTTTACTAGATGCACAACCAGTACAAAATAAAGTGCCTCTAACGAGGAGGCAAAACGACAACGCAACACAGTGCGTATTAAAACAATGCCAGAGAACTGCACCGGATACCACCAACAGACAGGAACTAAAATAACACACAACTAACGAACACAACCACAGGAAACTTATAAGGCACATAATCAAGACCAAACGGACACAGGTGTAACAGACAGACCAAACCAAACGAACATCGAAACATTCAACGGTGGCAGCTAGTACTCCGGGGACGACGAAGGCCGAAGCCTGCCCGAACAAGGAGGAGGAGCAGCCTCGGCAGATTCCGGGACATGCTCCCTGGTGAAGTATTTTGAATGATTTTATTTAGATAGGAGCAATTATATAATTTTGTCGAAACATCTATTTACTTTAGGGCAATCCAGCATCCTAACTGTGCACCCGCCAACTTTCCTTTCCAATTCGCATGCGGCTGAAACCAGACATCTTTATGTAATGACGAGATGCTCATGTCTCCGCCCTAACAATGGGAGGCTTTGACTCAAAGGCGGGAAGGCAGGCGACATCCCGAAAATCGGTCCGGACGGTTTGGTCTATAAACTATTATGGCCCCTATATAGACTCTCACTAACAAGATGGTGCAGGAGACTCGTCTGACGTCGGTACAGCCGATCTGCCAACTTCTGTCTGTAGCGTCCCAACCTTTTGGGCTACACACTAATATGACCCTTCTGAGCAAAGGTGAGACTCTCACTAACATGTACATGTCGGTTGTTTTGCTCTAGGACAGGCCTCACAAGACTCATCCGAAGGTCCCCCGGTACCAGTTTAAAAAATGAATGAAAGAATGTAAGTATATATGGAGAATGTTTAGTGGCCAAAATATGGGGTTAAATACATGTACATTGTTTTTTCCTAATATAGGAGAGACACTTCAGAACAAACTTCCTTTTGATATTCTTTTGGGACTGTCTGTTGTTCCATGTAGTGAATCTGTTATTCAATGTGTTTGTATGGGCTAATAGCAGTAAGGACTGTCTGTTGTTCCATGTAGTGAATCTGTTATTCAATGTGTTTGTATGGGCTAATAGCAGTAAGGACTGTCTGTTGTTCCATGTAGTGAATCTGTTATTCAATGTGTTTGTATGGGCTAATAGCAGTAAGGACTGTCTGTTGTTCCATGTAGTGAATCTGTTATTCAATGTGTTTGTATGGGCTAATAGCAGTAAGGACTATCTGTTGTTCCATGTAGTGAATCTGTTATTCAATGTGTTTGTATGGGCTAATAGCAGTAAGGCCCAAAATAAATGTTCATCAAATAATTGTTGTATATATTTTTTTGATACTTCAACGGGTCTTAAAATTCAAAATCAAATAGCTAAATGATCCTTGGTATGACCTTCTGAAAACAATTCCATGTAGCCTAGTTCGTGCTTGGCTCTGCCCACCTCCTTGCTTGTTCTGCCCACTATGATTCATTTGCTCCATTGGAAACAACAGGCGGTGGTGGAGCTGGAATCAGTTTGGTTTAAGGCTTGTACAGTCATGTGCGTTGCAGAAGAAGAAGCACTGTTTGATTCAGTGAGTGGAGGTGGAATGAGTGGAATGAGTGGAATGAGTGGAAGGAAGAAGAAAGGGATAGAGGTGGAAATGAGCAGCAGTTTCTTGTGAGATTCATTATTCAATTCTGCATTTTTTTTGGAGAGCCATTTGATGTTACGAAAGATGGTGAAGGATGATGCATTGGGGAAGGTGGAGTTGGTCCAAATGACCAGGAGGGGTTTTGTTCTAATTTCCTGTGTGTCAGAAGAACAGAAGGAGAAGGCGTTGTGGCTTGTGAAGTTAATGACCACATGAAGTGGAGTAAAAGGTGTTATCTCTGGCATTCTGTTGGACATTGCAACTCAATATCTCATGTTGAAAATTCCAGGAGTAGTTGGTGCGTGTTGCTTGACCCAGTGTTGCAGTACTCGAAACCGTTTTCATGTCCGGTCTCGAGACCACATATTGAGTGTCTCGGTCTTGTCTCGGTGTTGGATACATTTGTACTCGGTCTTCACTCGGTCTCGGACTTTGAGGACTCGTAATTTCTTCCGGAGACCAGCCGAGACCAGCGGAGTGAAAAACTCATAATTATCAGCTTCCATTAAGTCAGCGCATTAAACCGGCCAAATACACTACCAGTCAAAAGTTTGGACACACCTACTCATTCAAGGGTTTTTCTTTATTTTTACTATTTTCTACATTGTAGAATAATAGTGAAGACATCAAAACTATGAAATAACAAATATGGAATCATGTAGTAACCAAAAAAGTGTTAAACAAATCAAAATATATTTGAGATTCTTCAAATAGCCACCCTTTGCCTTGATGACAGCTTTGCACACTCTTGGCATTCTCTCAACCAGCTTCATGAGATAGTTTGTTTTGAAAAACTAAAAACCTGTTTTGAGCCCCACCTGTTTAGCTAAAAAAATAAAATATCAGTTTGCAAATCAATCAATCAATTTTATTTTATATAGCCCTTCTTACATCAGCTAATATCTCGAAGTGCTGTACAGAAACCCAGCCTAAAACCCCAAACAGCTAGTAATGCAGGTGTAGAAGCACGGTGGCTAGGAAAAACTCCCTAGAAAGGCAAAACCTAGGAAGAAACCTAGAGAGGAACCAGGCTATGAGGGGTGGCCAGTCCTCTTCTGGCTGTGCCGGATGAAGATTATAACAGAACCATGCCAAGATGTTCAAAAATGTTCATAAGTGACAAGCATGGTCAAATAATAATCAGGAATAAATCTCAGTTGGCTTTTCATAGCCGATCATTAAGAGTTGAAAACAGCAGGTCTGGGACAGGTAGGGGTTCCATAACCGCAGGCAGAACAGTTTAAACTGGAATAGCAGCAAGGCCAGGCGGACTGGGGACAGCAAGGAGTCACCAC